TCTAACTGGAGGGATATATCTAACTGGAGGGATATATCTAACTGGAGGGATATATCTAACTGGAGGGATATATCTAACTGGAGGGATATATCTAATTAGAGATATAGCGCTAGCCATCTTTTTGCGAGGTTGTCAAGTCTTGAAATCGCATTTGGTTTCGCTAGGGTATCGAATCAGAGACAGGTTTCGCTGCACAATCATTGCACAACCAAAACCCCTTCTGGAAACGATCACATCATCCAGTTCAGAAGATGGAATGCGGTCCTCGTTCCTCAAGATTGCAAAATCGGCTTGAACGAGCTTTTCGGCGTGAGTTTGGGGACAAGTGGTTGCTCGTCACACAACTGTGTGGCTGCTGGCTCTTTGGGCTGTACTTTGTGCCTTTCAGCCAAGCATAACCGATTGCAGATCCGATTGCAGCTGCTACTTTTGTCACGCTCGAAGGCTCTAATAGACTTTGTGTCGGACATTGCTATAATTGATGCTGTCTGTGTCGAGCCTGAGACGCAGCGACAACTGTCTACAGCGACCTTGCGGCAAGCTCTGCGGTCCTCTGACAGACATGAGCACCATTCGAGTCACAGCAGATGCCGAGTTACAAACATTGACTACGACGACAAAGCTTCGCTTGAACTTTCTTTGACAGCCTGTTGAACAGCCTCGATGACCTTGCTGTGAACATCTTTGTGAGCTGCGACTACACCCTTGTTTCCTTTGAGAGTGCGACCCAATGAAAAGTCAAGAGGTTTGCCATGCATGTCAGACACAACACCTCCTGCTTCTGCAACAAGCAATGACCCGGAAGAGTGGTCCTGCGAGATGACTGTCAGATCGCATGCGATGACCTGTGATGAAGATACAAACTTACCCAAATTTTTTCCTCGTACGTCGCTGACACGGGTAATCTCAAGTAGATGTCACCATCACCTCTTGCAATTGAACAATACTTTGCCTGGGAATCCATTCTAACACTGTCTTTTGTAATGCCTAGAATGTCGGCGATTCGTTTATTGGTCGAGTGATCAGAGTGACCCGCTTCGACTGATTCACAGAATGATGCGTCAGCCAAAGAAGACAATCGAGACATTGAAATAGGTTTCAGTTCAGGTGAAGTCAAAGAACGCTGCATTTCGACAAATGTCAGTCGAGTGTGGTCTTGGGGCATTCTCAGCCATGAGGGCGCACCTGGAAAGCTCCTTCTCCTTTGACAGCTACAAAGATGGCACCCTTTTCACCGTCAGGCTTTGATGGGTCGAGTGGCAAGTTGGGGCATCCCATGACCCCGACAACAACTTGACCTTCACTCAGCAAGCCCAAGCAGACAGCGTATTGACCGCCACGCAGGAAGCCCTTTGTACCATCAATGGGGTCGAGTGCCCAGTGTCCTAGATCACGAAAGATTGTGTTCAGTCCAAGCACGAGAACAGCAAGGCACGGTGAGGACTGACGACCCGAGTTGCCACCTGTGCTGTTGCCTCTGTCGATAACATCGAGCCATTCCTTTTCTGATCGTTCGACTGCCTTGACCTGATTCCATTCTCGTTCCTCTTCTTGACCAGGGACTGTCTCTTTCATGGCCTCGTTGGCCAACCTCATAATCTGTTGTTTCGTTTGTGCGTTCTCGGGTGTCGACAGTTCAGACGAGTCTTCTTCGCCTACGATCTGATCTTGAGGGAAATGAGCAAAGATGAGTGACGACACGAGGGCCTGACATGTATAATCGGCGACTGTTCCAGTGCAGTCAGCAGCTGATTCGGTTGAGGCCCAAGTCGGTCATGACCTAGAGCGCGCACGCACCCGTGACGGGACTTTTGTCCTTTTTTTGGACACCACCACTGCCCACAAGTTGATCCTGTACTTTTTTGGCCAACAGGGACGCCTTCAGCACGGCGGCGATCGCGACTCGTTGCTCGCGTTCGTACATGCTGCCACTCTTGGTAACGGTCGACATGGCCTGAATTGACGACAAAGGCGACAAGTGTCGAGTGATGCTTTGAATGCGTTTCGAGAGTGACTGAATGGTGGGTGCTAGTGCTGATCTGCCGAGCCGCTGCGAGATTCAAGTTGGAAGAAACCCGGCCCTGCTGCGTAATCACGCCTTGTCGTCTCGATGATGTTCATGAGGTCAGTAATGTGACAAGACAATAGCTAGTCGAGTCGAATGCTAGCAACAGATACGTGTAGCAATTGCACGTCATGATCAGGGCGCAAAAGCGAGCGCCTCCTGTGTCGCCGAGACAATATCCCATGGTTCCCGTGGAACCCACACGTGCAACTCGAACGACAGGCTCTTCAGCCTCGAGTCAGTGAAAGCAAATCGGCTTCCGTGCTGGTCTAAATTCATCACTATCCCTGCACGTCACGGCAAAGTCACGTGAACGGCGGGCGGGCCGTTTCCCCCGCGCGCGCGCCCGCGACCTGGAGACGGAATTCTTTTGGGGGGAAAGTCGTGGAGATTGCACCTTGGCCTCTCTCGTCTGCATCCTCTTTGAAGCATACATCAACGTTCTACAGCAGCAACATGTCGACGACAATGACCATGACTCAAGAAAAGGCGACAACCCAAACTAAGACCGCTACGACGTTGCCTTCGTTGCAGCTCGTGGCTCAGCCACTGACTCATGAGAGTTGGGCACCATACGGCGATGTCATTCAAGGCTCAAATGATCCATCGACCATGCCCAAACATGTCATCACCAATACGATTACAGCCAATCCGGAAATCGTCAGTCGCCGTGGGGAGTGCACCAACAGATGAATTTCAGAACTGACTTGTGATCATCCAATTGCAGGGTCACAAATTCAATCGCATCTCACCAATCACGTCTCTGTACCCTACATCTCCTTCGACACCTTCGTACCAAGGTAAACCTCACACGGCCATCAATGTCATTCGAGTCGGTCCACCAAAAGGTTTGACTCTTGATGGTACTTGTCAATTTCAAGTTAGAATGTTGGAGAGACATGCAGCGACAAGTCAAGCGTTTATTCCCATGAACAAAAGTACAAAAGATTGGGACGAATTTGCTCAAGGTGACGAGGCAAAGAGAGAAAGGTTGCAACAGACGAAAGAAGCAGGTGGCATGCTTGTCGTTGGATGTCTCAGTCAACCTGGTGAGTTCACGTGCGCCTATTATGCTGTAAACGTTGGATTACTCATACTCATTCGAACGCTCGCAGATGGCCAACCTGAATTGTCGACTTTGAAAGTGTTTGTGGCGAGACCCGATCAGGGCGTCTGTTACCACGCTGGCATCTGGCGTAAGTGACAAATCTCTTTATTGACAAGGATCGACATGATGATAGACACTGACATGGCATGCGGTCATGCTCGCAGACCACTCGCTCGTGTCGTTTACGCGCTCAGACATTGCGTCGGTCGATACTCAGATCACGACCGATGGCAGTTTGTTGATTGATTTAGAAATCGTCAGAAGACAACCCGAACAACAACCTTTTGCTCTCGTTCAATTGCCAAAGATTGTTTAAACAGCGTTTACTGTTCTTGTTTCATAGTCCATTGGTTTCTCATTTGCATAGATTTGAGGGCAACATCAGTCGACTTGTATCTTTTTGCGTAGACAACGGGGTTTTTTCGTCTTGACATTGTACAACACTCACACATCCTAGACTACGTACTACCTATGACCTGGATTCGATGACAAGCGCACTTCAAGCCGCACCACCGTCCTTGGGATCAGTTCCAGCTGTAGCAGAAGTCGTATTTTCACCACCATCTGAAGGCTGAGCATCCTCTTTGTGAACCAACACGGCACTGGCACTAGTGTCTTCTGATGCTTTTGACCCGGTAGCTTCTCCAGCATCACTTGTCGAACTGGTCGCTGTTGTTGACAAAGGTTGACTAGATGAACCCACACTTGAAGCAGATCCTCTCATTTGCCAAGCTGGAATACCTGGCTTCCTCAATCCTAGACCACCAGAAGGTGACACTCGGCCTGTTTCTTGACCTGTTGGGGTGGTAGTGCCGGCTGTGGAAGACGTCGAGGCGCCGTACGTTGATGACGAGTTGGGGAATGTCGAGTTGCCGATTGTTGTTGTTGTTGACGCGGAAGGCTGAGGTGTCGTTGATTGCGAAGGTGTGGTGGCGGGACGACGAGCAATCAACAACGATTTCAAAGATTTGAGTTCGGTCTGCAGTTCATTCAATTGTTGAGCATGAGACGATGATTGTTTCTCGATGAGCTGCGATCGATACGCGTCTGTCAGCGCAATGACCATGCAACGTGTCATCAATCGACGCAAGAGCTCACCGTAGGCAAATTTCTCGCGACGTCATCAACCTGTTCCTGAACTTTTTTGCTCCACTCCTCTCGTCTCCTTTCTCCTTCTTTCATTTCACTGACACCTTGTCTGACCGATTCCAACTCTTTCTCGACCGAAGCTCGTTGCTCGTCTAAAGATTGACTCAATGCGTCCGTTGACGATTGCAATTCCTTCAAGACTTGAGCAGCTTCGTCATATTTCGCTTCAAGCGCTTGTTGAGCTCGTTCAAGATCAGTTTCTGAAGGAGGTTGCAAGTGAGGTACAACGTATTTCTGTGTGTCACGGCGAATTAGCGCTGAGGTTGGTGTGGGCGCGCGCGTGCGTGCGCGGGCGG